CCCCCCCCCCCACCCCTACATGCAAGTGTGCTAGGCCTTGGCGTCCGTTGTTTCCGAACGAGGCATTGGCTGGGCTTCAGGACAGCGACCCCTTTGCCTTTTCCGGCTGAGCTTCGAGGCAGGGCCCCTGGGTTCAGCGCCAGGATCGGGACCATGGGTGCCAAGGCCTAGAAGCTGAGACAGGCATAACTGGTAGAGAGAAAACAGACGCAGAGAAGGCACGGAGCAACCGACCGACTCCTTTCCAAGCTTACGCCAACGGAGAGCTCTGGATGGTCGTTTGGTTTTTTCTTTCTTTCTCCCTTCTTGTTCCGCCTCCTCCCATTACAAGTGAAACGCCCGCTGTCCCGAAAAAGCAAAAGGATTTGGCTCCAGGCTCCGCACGCTTCTATTCGCCAGTCAGTTCCGTGGAGAGACTGATCCCTGCGGCAGGTTTCCCCCCCCCCCCAGAACTCACACGCATCTACGACTGTGTTACAGGAGGGTTTTATTTCAAGGACAGGGCCCCCCTTCTACGATAGATCTCCTAAGATCTCGCACACAATACTTTTCTCTGGGTTAAGGAATTACACCGACTGCCAAGGGTTCAGCGCTGGGCTGTGTTCAGGATTCTCTGACTGCTGTTCCCAGATCGCGTGGCGGGTAGAAGCTTATAAAAACAGGAAAGCTGGATTCGAATCCACGGCGCCACCGGTTCCCCACTTTATGGGACACGCAATGATGCACTTGGGAGGCGGGCTGAAGCCATTCACTCGAGGCCGCTGCTTAGTGTGGCTTCTCTTGTTTCTGGCTGGTTAATGAACCGAGCCTGCAAGTAATCCGAGGAGGCAGCGCATTCCCCTTTCTCGGGAAGAGTGCACGTGTGTCTCTCTCCGTGTGGGGACTTTACAATTTTTTTCCTAGGCCGCAGGGCCTTTGCCCTTCTGCTCACTAGGGCCCACCCCGTCCTTCCCTGCCTGCCTTACAGAACACCCTCCTTGGGAGTATTTAGGCGGCAAGGGGTGGTCCCTCACGGGCCCTTAAAAAAAAGGGGGACCGCTGTTTGCTGAGAGGCAGAATCAGCTGCTCTTCGCTTCCTTGGAGGGGGGGGGATTGGAGAGATAACCGAATCAGGTTCCTCTTCATCTTAATAAAAAAAAGTTTCTGGCTCTCAAGTGCCCATGGAGGTTGTGATTTTATTCCCATTTCACCCGCTTCTAAATAGGGCAGTGAACAGTTAACCATAAACCTAACACGAGGCGAGAAAAACGAGGCGTTAGGTCGGCTCGGTGTCAGGGCACCTGCGCTTCCTGGCACGCCGGTGTTTGCTTGGCTGTTTATCTTGAGCACCTCGGCCAAGCATGGCGTGTCTTCGGTTCAGTGGCCTCTGAGTGATTCCCCTCGCCAAGTGCGTAACTCTGCACCGTGTTGGTGGTGCTCCCCTGCCAGCACCGGTGGCCTGACTCCCGCCCCAATAAGCTCCAAGGTATCGCTTGCATTGTCCCCTCGCCGCTCCGCAGGAGGAGAGGCCTTGGCCCTCTCCCAACGCTCTTTTCCTCCGACCTTGGCTGCGATGGAGCTGAAGTCATCAACCGGCGCTGGCAGGTTGGCAAGAAGACTGGCCGCCATAAATTGGGATGTCCGGATTGCGCTGCCCACCCGCATTCTTAGCGACTCGCGTGTCCGCGTTTCCAGTTCGGAAATTAGCCAGGGTTTAGTCCAAGACTTGCCTGGCCTGCTTCTGTCCTCCCCGCTTGTCTTCCCAGGCCGTATCTCTGTTCACCCCCAGCCACCAATCCTCGGACTCGGCCGCTTGAAAAAAAGGGAGCTCAGAACTTTTTTTGGTCCCCCTCCCCACTTCTCCCTTCGTTGCAGCGCGTCCCACCAGCGTCAGCGTGAAGGGTGGGCATAACACGGATTAAGGTCTGGCCTTGGGGAAGACACAGGGGCCACGTGAGGCAGGCAGGCAGGCGGTTTAGGAGCGAAAGAAACCACACGTGGGGAAAGGGCCTGTTTGTGCCTCTCCTCGAATAACCCGCAATCTTTTCTCCTTTTTTTCCTGTTTCTGCTTAGGATCAGGACGCCGGTGCGCGCTTTCCGACCGCCGGGTTCAACCAGTCAACGGAAGGCAAGGCAAGGCAAGGCCCGGCCCGGCACGATGGGGAGCAAGGCCCTGCCGGCGCCCATCCCACTGCACCCTTCGCTGCAGCTGACCAACTATTCCTTCTTGCAAGCCGTCAATACGTTCCCGGCCGCCGTAGACCACCTGCAAGGCCTCTACGGCCTGAGCGCCGTCCACACCATGCACATGAACCACTGGACGCTGGGTTGTTACGCGGCCGCGGCCGCCGCTGCCACTGCCTCTGCCTCGGGCGGCGGCGGCGGCAGCGGCCCAGCCGAGATCAGCCGCTGCTCGGCGCTGAGCGAAATGGCGGCGGCGCAAGGCCTGGTGGAGCGCTTCCCCTTCCCGGGCCTGCCCTTCGCCACGCACCTGTTCCACCCCAAGCAGGCCGCCGCCATCGCGCACGTCTTGCCGGCGCTGCGCAAGGAGCGACCCCGCTTTGACTTTGCCAACCTGGCGGCGGCCGCCACACAGGAGGACCCGCCCAAGGCGCACGCGGTGGCGGCGGCCGCGCAAGCTCAGGGCGAGCTGGCCAAGCTGGGCGGGCCTCTGTCGGCGGCGCTGGGCAAGCTCTCCCCCGAGAGCCGGAAGCCGGCGCGGGGCCGGCTGCCCTCCAAGACCAAGAAGGAGTTCATCTGCAAGTTCTGCGGGCGACACTTCACCAAGTCCTACAACCTGCTCATCCACGAGAGGACCCACACCGACGAGCGGCCTTACACGTGCGACATCTGCCACAAGGCCTTCCGGAGGCAAGATCACCTTCGCGACCACAGGTCAGCCTTTGCCCCAGCCGGCCTGGCCAGGAGCCCCGCTAGGCCTCCTCAGATGGTGGGGCTGGAGGCCCCCACGCACGAAGGTTTTACTGGTTTGGGCTTAATCGGTTTATGGAGACCCTGGCTTATTTCGAAGGGTGTTAAGTGTTTCCTCCCAAAAACCATAGTTAAAATAAACCAAGGCTTATAGCGGCTTGAACACAATCCAAAGCTGAATTCAGATACAACACTAAGCCATATTGTTGATTGTTTGCTATGAAGCCATTGCTTCAGTATGGTTTATGACCCGTTCAGTAAATCCTAGTTCAAACAAATCATGATTTAGCATGGTGTAGGAACAGGCCTATCTACTGCAGACCCAATCTAAACAAGAGGTGTTCTTATTATCCCTCTGAACAAGGTCAGTAGGGTTTGTTTCCAAGAAAATAAAGTTGGAGCCAAGGATGTAGTCATTCTGTTGATTTGCCTTCAAGCCTTCATTGAAGGGACATGTCTGATTTTAAAGCCAAGGAGTTTTTGAGATCATGGGGTTAAACTACTTGATCTCGTTGGAGCAGGAGGCAGAATTCCTATTGCTTTGAGGAAGAATGATCGGCTTATTGTCTTCAATGAAACATATTTCTAAAGTTAGAATCTCAGTTTAGAATTCTCCCTCACTTGAAGGTCCTCTGATGTTCTTGATCATGTTTCTTGCCTTTGCCTTTTCTTTTTTCTTTTGCCTTGGGGCTATAATATAACTATCACTAAAGACTTGGCAGTAAGAGCACAAAAATATTTATGGGTTTGTAACAATATACAAATCTCTACAAAGAGACTCTTTTTGTGGCTTGTTTTGAGAAGCCAAAGAATGTTGGTCTCTTTATTCCACAAAACCCCTACATTCTCCTGTCAGATTTATAAACTTAAACACAAACATTCAAGCTGATGTTAATCAAAGGGCAATTTTGATTAACTTCACCTGGAATTACCTGCTAAAGTAATAAATTGGGCTTACACCCATGAACATTTATATGGGATTACACCCTTGCTAAGCATGTTTACTCAAATATATGCATATTTACCCAGAAATAAGCTCCTATTCAAAGGGGCTTATTCCAAAGAAGGCAATGAAGAGCAGTGAGTAATTATTTTAAAGGGTCTGAACATGTTAAAAAGGGACTTTGGGGATGAACAGCTAGGCAGCATATACTTTTGGTTTTAAAAACTTGATTATGCAGAAGTTGGGCTGGTTATGGCACTTGTTGTGGGTATAGAGATACTGACTCGGAAACCCTTTGGTTGATTTTCAGGTATATCCACTCCAAAGAAAAACCCTTCAAGTGCCAAGAGTGTGGGAAAGGATTTTGCCAATCCAGGACCCTAGCCGTTCATAAAACTTTACATATGCAGGTAAGATCAGGCTCAATTATTTTACATATTCTATTTTGATTTTAATTGATTATTAATATAAATGCACAGTAATTATTTTCTAGATGCAAAATAAGAGAGATGTGCTTCTTTTTAATCTGAAATCTTTTGTGCTATTTTTCTCAAAGGCTGATAGGCAGAAAACAACACAAATCCATATTTAACGTATATGGAGTTCATAACGGACATTTAGATGGCAAGGACAAGGGGGCAAATGATAAAATGTGCAAAGTGATATCAACATGCCAGGGCTGTGACTCACTCACTTGCATCAGATGCAAGCATGTAATAGCATTTGTGTTAAGACCTGCATGTCATCATTTTGATGTATAGTAACTGCAATTCATTGCAGATGCCCTATGTTTCTTTCGCTACTAAAAAACCCCCAATAAGCACTCAATTCTAGGAGAAAAGTGGGATATTAGTCAAATAAATAACAACCATAAAATAAGTAACATTTCCTAGGGACTGTGAGCCTATGTACATTTACTTAAGAGTATATTCCATTGAATTAAGCAGGATATACATTTGAGGAAAGATAGCCTGGCTAAGGTTGACTTCACTCATTCAAGACTTCCATGCTCTAACACTTGAAAAAGCTCCTTAAGTAGCCAGGCAGTTTTGAAGCAACTTATCAATGGCTAAATGAGATGTGCTCTTTGATGGAAAATCCCAGAGTAAAAAGACTTGCTTTGTGGAAGACTTCTCACTTAGAGAGATGAACCAAGTCTCCCTTGGAAGCCGGGTGGATTAGTAGGAGACTCTTCCCCTTAGATTCCAGGAAGTGGGAAATGCAAAGCAAGGAGGACTGGCCTTGACAGGCAGGAAGATATGTCGGTGCAATTAAGACTATAATCTTAAGCACACTTACAAGGGACTGAGAGTAAATCAATAGACCTGCTTCTGGATTCCAGATGCATTTTCTGGAAATAATTGTGCCTGCAGCTAAAACTGCAGTTAATGTGAAAGTAAAGCTGTGATTCTGAGATCAGCTCCAAAGAAAATTGACCAATTGCGTAGAAAAAAAAGTGAAATCATGCACATGTTTAGATGCACATAAATGAGGGTTGAAGAAAGCTTAGTCGCTGAAGTGTATGCAGATTCAGATTCTAAATCTGAAAATATATGTGCACTTATTTGGGAGGAACCCTTACTGAATCCTATTGGAAAGTAAATTTGCATAAAACCAAACTATAAATGCATGCACAGTGCAGTCCTATGTACTTTAGTCTGTAGTTTTCAGTGTTGCCTGTTACTGCCAATTTACATTTGCACAGAATTGCATTGATTTTTCTGTCTGTGTGAGGCCTTAGATTGCAAGTTTATTTTGCCTTGCCACGTTCTTTTTGTCCTACAGCAATTTAATGGGGCCAAAAATGAGAGCAGGGTGGGGGTGGGGGTGATGGTGGAAATGTGAGTGAACTTTGAAAAGCTCGATAATCCAGGTAGTTTGTCAAGGGTTTAATCCTTTGCTTGCTTCAAATCTGAACAGGAATCTCCACACAAATGCCCCACATGTGGAAGAACCTTTAATCAAAGAAGTAACCTGAAAACTCACCTTCTCACCCATACAGACATCAAGCCCTACAACTGTGAGCAGTGCGGCAAAGTGTTCAGGCGCAACTGTGATCTGCGGAGGCACAGTCTAACTCACACCCCGCGGCAGGACTTCTAGAACAGCCGAGAACCCCTCCCCTGGGGAGCTAATTCTGGCTCAAGGACTTGAACTGTAGCGTAATCTTTATGTCCACATGGGTGATGTGGACAGGTGCCTCTAGGGGCTTGATTCCATGTCCCCTAGTGCCAGCCGGTCCTCTTTCTGCTGTGGTGGTGGGGGCTGATACCTGTTCCAAGCATTCTCCCTGCAACCGCCGAGGGGGCCAGCTGGCTTCTTGTATATAGTAACGGAGAGCAGCTCATTTTCGAGCTCTGCACAGCAATATGTTGGCTTTCTATTGTCTTACCAAATGCACATTGGTACCAACAGCAAAACCTAGGAGTGAAAAATACTTTTTTTTTCAAATTGTATTTCCAAATAAACACTTTCCCTCCAAATATAATTCTCATTCTGAGTTTGAATAAGTAACATACTTTTTCTCTCCCTTTCTGATAATTAAAGTCAAAAGATCTGAAATTGTTCTTTGAAAAAAAAAAACCTTTGTGAGAGATGTGTGTGTGTGTTTAATTGGGGGGGGGGAATCTAGTCTCTGCAGTTTTCATGGCAGGATATATATATATATTTGTTTGAAGTGGTTTCCCACAGCCCCTTCCGGAGCGAGGGCCGGGAAAGAATGACTGACACAAGTTACCCAGCTGATCTCATGGTTTCCTGGTTTTGAGAAGTGGAAATCTATGTGCATTGAATCCAAACTTGATCTAGAGTGCCTCTGGATGGAGGACCTGCAGCTATGCCAGTCAAAACAGATCGGGCAGCTATTCTGTCTTTGTGTGTCGCCTCTCCTGGTGTAATGGAATGCCAGCCATAAGCCGCCCTAAAACACAGCTGAGTCAAGCCAGGGAGAACACAAGGCCAGCCTCATGGGGCAGCATTAACTGGGGAGGGGAGCAGGCTGTTCCTGTGACATGGTAAATAGCTAATTTAAAAAGCTCTCTCTTTAATATTTGGGCTAGAGAAGAACACAGAAGGGTGTAACAATGATAGTTGGGTATCCTCCATGACTGATGACATAGGCAAGGTGATTTATATACTCAAAGCCTTATGTGGGAGAACCCCCCCCCCCTTAATGTTGCATCAAATTTAGTACAATTGTATTTACTGATGTGTAACTGAGTTCAATGGGACTTACTTGCAAGTAACTGGATAGGGATGTTTATAGTAGAAAAGCAACTCTACAGATCCCCTGTGAAACCTAAGTGTAGATTGTGCTCGTTTTTTTGTGTGGAATCCAACCCTGTCTCTTCACTGAATCCCTTAAGGAATCTGCCTCCATAATTCTGTGGGGATTGATTCTGAAATAAACCGCACCAAATTCGTACAGTTGTACTCTGTAAACAAGTTCGGGTTATACAGTCTTTACTTCTGCTCCCCTGGGTTATGTTCCCTCAGCAGGCGTAAACCATCAATCATGGCTAGCGTGCTAAATTGGCTGTTCGCAAAGCAGAGAAATAGTGGCTTCCACCCCACCCCCCACCCCCCATGGTCGAAGCATTTATGTTTGGGATGAACTCAACCTGTGAGACCCTTTGCTTCCCCCTTCCTCCCCTGACCGACAGAGCTCCAGGATTCAGCGCGCCTATAATGATTGAAAGAAAGGCAAAGGGGAGAGGGGGGGGGGGTCGGGGTCGGAAAATGCCTTAAAATCCTCCCTAAAGCCTAAAAGGATTTATTAGTTACTTATTGGCAACCAAGCCAGCTCTTCCCGAGAGATTGCCTCCTTTGTAGACTTTGAACGGAGGCGGCTGCAGCTTAGAGACAGGGACTTTACACTGCCCAAGACGAGCCCGGCCGGGAAGCTCTGAAAAAGCAAACAGTGCGGCTTCCATAAAACTGCCGGCGGGGCGGGGGCCGCCTCGGCCCGAGGGCTTCCCGGGAAAACCGCGAAGGCTCCGCGAGCCCCGGAAGGACGCTGCCCTCGTCGCCACTTTATCCCCGGCGCTTGGGGGGAGCTTCTACCCCGGCGCCCAAAGCGGCGCTTTAGCTGTAGCCGAGTCCGGACTTCAGGAGCAGCTAAAAGCTGCGCGGGGTCGCGGCCCACAGCCCCGGCAGAGGCAAACGACAAGTCCCGGGTGGAAATGGCGGGAAGCCAGGCGGTCGTGGAGAGGTTCCCCCCGACGGCTCTGAGGCTCGCCTTGGCCTTGCAGGAGCCTCCCCAGAGCGCCGCCCCTCGCCGGGCAGCTGCGCGGAGGGCAAGGAGGAGAGCTAGCCCGGCCGGAGCGTGGGGGGGGGGTCGCTCGGGGGCGAGAGGCAGCCCTGCGAACGAGCTCAGTCCGCCGCTTTCCGCGCCGAATCCCGGATGGGCGGGGCTCACAATTAAAAGATTGTCGCGATCCGGTTTTGAAATTGTCACGCCACAGGTTTTGCTACGAAGTGGCAAACTAATCGATGGCGGCTCAAGTCTTCCACGGCTACCTGGGTTTTTCATGCGGATGTCTCTAAGGGTGAGCAACCTGGCCTTTCCAAATATTATTGTCTACACCAGGGGTAGACAACCTCGGCTCTTTTATGACTCGTGGACTTCAACTCCCACAATTCCTGAGTCAGCTATGCTGACTCAGGAATTGTGGGAGTTGAAGTCCACGAGTCATAAAAGAGCCGAGGTTGCCTACCCCCGGTCTACACAGCTCCCACAGGTCTCTGCCGGGACAGCTTGTGGTTGTGCGGATTGTAGTTCAAAACATCCAGGACGCAACAGCTTATCTGCTTCCCTATATTAGACATCACACAAAGTGGAGATGTAATTAGATTAGAACAAACGGAGGTAGTCTGCAAAGATTGGACAGCTTTTAAATGAGAGCAAAGATATTTAGGAAACTCAAAGCCTTGGTGCCATTCATTGGCTGTCCAGATCTTTGCAGCCCAAATTTCGTCCTCATAATAAATCAAAATGCAGCAGTAAGCCTCTGAAACATGGTATGTGAATATGCCATCTTAGCATCAGGATTGCAAATGGCAATTTTTTGTGACCCTCAAAACGCTGGCTACAAGTACAGCATGGCAAAGGTACAATTTGTTTTAATTCTGAGATGGGATGCACATTTTGGGCAAGCCAGAAATGCTCAAATGGTGGGCTGCAATGCTGGGGTGGTGGGCATCTTATATTAATATTAATATTAATATTAATAACAATAACAATAACAATAACAACAACAACAACAATAAAGTTGGAAGGGACCTTGGAGGTCATCTAGTCCAACCCCCTGCTCAGGCTGGAAACCCTATACCATTCAGACAAATGGCTGTCCAGTCTCTTCTTAAAAACTTCCAGTGTTGGAGCATTCACCACTTCTGGAGGCAGGTTGTTCCACTGGTTAATTGTTCTGTCAGGAAGTTTCTCCTTAGTTCTAGGTTGCTTCTCTTCTTGATTAGTTTCCATCCGTTGCTTCTTGTCCTGCCTTCAGGTGCTTTGGAGAATAGCTGGACTCCCTCTTCTTTGTGGCAGCCCCTGAGATATTGGAACACTGCTATCATGTCCTCCCTCGTCCTTCTCTTCATTAAACTAGACATACCCAATTCCAGCAGCCTTTCCTTATATGCTTTAGCCTCCAGCCCCCTCTTCAAAGGCCATCACTTATGGTCCTGCTTTGCTCAGATGTGGGTGACCTTTACCAAGTTGCTGGAACCAGCCAGGGCTCTTTTCTTGATCGTACTTACAGCATCAACTCTTTTAAACCACATTCACTCCTGAGTGTTGCCCAAAGTGATCCTGCCAAGATTGAGGAGCCCTTTCCCAGCCTGCCCACTTCCTTCTGCCAAGAACAGATCTTCTTGGCTATCTTCCTTGTGTGCCTGGTCCAGGCAATTGGTGGCCGGTACTGTTGGGGAAGAGAAGAAGAAAGCCAAGAAACTCCTTCTCCCTTTTCTGAACTTGACCTACAGTAAGAAAAGAGTCCAAATGAGACATGCTCCTCCTAGCTTGTTTTTATTGGGCAGAATCTAATTCTTATTCTATGTTGGCTAGGTTCATATGTTATGCTAAAAAGTGGTTTGCTAAACCAGGGCTAATTGAAAAACAATTTGCTGTCCTAGCTAACATATTAAGTGAAAAATCATATTTTGGCTTTTTGAAATGTGTGGAGTGCAACTTCAGTTTAACCATTTTGTCTGCATGCACAGGACACGTTAAAGTAAAACTAAAGAAGCCACAATATTATTTAGTGTGTTGGGTAAACTGGTTCAATATGTATATGCACAAATAAACAGATATACATAACCTGCATTTTGGAATATTTAAATATTGCAGAATACAAGAAAATACATTTGGCTTTCTTAATGCAGTTGATATTAATACGGCTTCAAGATTTCTATTTCTCTGTTCAACATAATACAAATAGACTAGACCTATTTTTCCAGACCCTTTGCTAGTTCATTTATTACAGTTATGTTTGGAGAACATGTGTTAATATACCAACCTAAAATTTGAAACCAACATAAGACAATTCAAAAGCCCATGCTAAAAATATCCAGGCAGCTGGAAGTAACAGAGCCATGCAGTACAGAGTGTGGGCTGTTTTGTTTCCAAATATGTTTTCATAGAGTTTGTCTGTAAGTTAAAATATGGTCTGTCTGTCCAGCTGCTTTGACTTTTTAATCTCAGTCTCATGCCATTGTAGGAAGTAGGGCATTCTTTCAGGATCCTGCAAGGGCAGAGGGCAGGTCCAAAGCGTGTGTTATCCCCATAGTTTTCCAGGGGGAACAAGGGGAAGGAAGTCATATCTATCATGGTGGCATCACACAAATTGCAAATTTATTTATTTCATCAACTTGTATATCTGCCCAAGTTAAAGATTCTGGGCAGCTAACATAGAACTAAAAAGAATAAAATGTTAACCACCCAGTAAAAATAATAACAATTAAAAAGGAGGGCCCAATTCACATTCATACATTTCCAATCATTGGAAGATAGGCTCATCCAACATCGTGGCCAATGGCCAACGGAAGAGACATTTGTGTCATTTGTGTAACAATGTCATGATGCATTTGACATCATGGTTTGTATCAGACATGTATGACCTTTCCTAATTGGAGAAAGAAATATCTAAGTTCCAAAAACAGTATGTTTTCTTTTGACATGGAAGGGTTATAAGAACCAAGACGCTGTATTTATTGCTTAATAATATGAGTGGTTTCAGCCATTGTGGTTTGTTAATGTGTGGCTTCAATTAGTGTCAGAAGAAGAGATGAAGCATGACTTTTGCAATGTTTCTGAAGGACAGGTACTCAGTATTGCTTCAAGAACTATGACTTCCTCCCTTTAAAAAAAAGTATTCCAAATGTGTAGTTTACACTGCTTTGTGGTCATAAAAACAAGTGCTATTGCTGCTTCATCTTTTAGCAGCCATTAAAAAAACAGCAAACCCCAGCTAATATGTTTGTGTGTGTGTATATAAAAACTATTGTT